AGGCTGGAAGGATTCCAGGATTTCCACGTTTCTGATTCCAAATGTTATATTTTTAAACCCTAAGATTTGGGATGATTACTTTTCTGATTTTTATGGGAAAATTGTATAAAAAGTCTGAAACATTAGAAGAATAAAAATTTTTTTACAGTTATTTAAATTACAGATTATCTTCTTTAGAAAGCAGGAGAGAACATTTAATCCTGCAACACAACAACAACAAACACTTTTCCTCTTCTATCCAAACTACTATATATGACTTCTAAGCGCTTTTGGTGAGTCCCATACTCTAAAGATTCATGTAAAAATAAAGAACCCTGAATAATTGAACTGAAATCATCAGAATGTGTTCATAGTGAAGCCTAACAGCTTGCTTAACTTTCCGATAAATCGACAAAAATTTCTTAATTCTCATCCAAAGGATAATTTGGTCAGGCCAAGTTTTCTTTTTGTTGCATTTGCAAGATAAAATCTGCCCACAAAAGGGGGGGGGGGGTTGATGAATACACATATGCTGACAAAGAATAAGGCCACTAAACTGAGCAGGGCTATAATAGGAAGACAGGTATCAAACAAAGTTGTTTTATATCTAAACACATTAAGGTTTCTCATGCAGTGGGGACAGGAGGGTGGACCAGACCAACACCTTATGCCAGCGTACATGTTTGTTCACTCCGCCGCTCACTGAGTTCATCACTTGAAACATCAGGCAGAATTTAAACATAAAAAAAAAAAGCTTAAGTCCAAATCCAGCTGACTGCAACATTTAACCAACTTAAAAAACTATAGATATCAAAACAACCACAAAGTGAATTCAAAAATATCTGCATACTTTAATGGAACTTAAAAAAAAAAAAAACTGTTCATTTTCCAGTGGTTCTATTGTCCGTCCTTCATGTCCGCTTCTCTTTTATTCATTCACAAAAATCTTACTAAATCATAGTGTGCACTTATCATTTCCACTCCAGCTCAGCTCCTCTGCCTTTTGTGATGTCATCGACCCAAACATGCATACATTAGAAGTTTTCTTGTGTCACTTTTTAAACATTTTCTGAATTCTTGCACTAGAAATTCAAACTTTGTCACCTTTTCTGCTTAAAGTGATCAGTAATCTTTCCTAAAAACAAATCATGCAGGTTTATTTCCTACCTTGCTGTCCAGCTTCTTCATTGTTACAAGGTCCAGAGATTTGAGCGAATGGCCCGAGGGGGAGATAAAGTACAGACAGGCGTGCACTCGGGAGTCATGGTAGTTGTGCAGAGAGCGCTTGATTTTTAGCTCCTCCTGAAGGTAAGTCTCAAATTGCTTGTCAATGTAGTCCACCACTGGCTGATAGCTACAGGAAATAAAAAGTTAAATCACGTTGTCACTACATTGTAAAAAAAAAAGTTACTTTTACTGTATGACAAAGACCCCCCCACCCCTTCGCTGACAAACCTTTCTTGTTTGTTCATCTGGTCCCCAAAGCCAACAGTGTTGACCACAGTGAGACGAAGTCTGACGTTGCTTTCCTGCAGGTCGTAGGTTTGGGCCCGCAGCTTCACTTGAGGTTCAAAATGGGATGACTCAAAGTTCTCAAAGTTGGTGTTAAATAGGGTGTCCATCAGTGTAGACTTGCCGATACCGGTCTCACCTGGAGGAGGAAAAAAAACATCTGAATATTTCAGAGATTTCTCTCATGTGCCAACTGGGATTTTTTTTCTGTTTTCTTTCCTTTTGGAATGAAAACTGAATGCAGCACTTTTGAAATTCAATAACAAACTTCTTAATTCTGATATACATCTTGAATTTTGTATTTATTGGAACAACATTAGAAAAAGATAAAATTACTAGTAATATTATGAAGTAGATGTGTGTGATATAGTACCGATGCAGAGAATGTTGAAGCAGAAGCCCTGTGTGATGGACTTATTGACAAGCTGATCTGGAAGACTGTCAAAGCCTACATGGCCAGCGAGGGACAAAGGCCGGGTTCCTTGATCCTATCGAGGAAATTACACAGGAAAAAGATTAATTTAATTATTTTGAAAATCAGACAATTTTTCAGTTCATGTTTTTCTAACGTCTGTGACAAAATGCCAAAGATAACAGTTTGACATTTTGAAAAGTTGTTTCTATTTTAATATTTCACAATCCATTCATCGTTAAACTAAGAGAAAAGGGAGGGAAATGACAGGTCAAACATGGGATCTGCAAATACTTGGCAAGTATGTCTGGAGGAAATTAAGATATTTCCTGTAAAGTCAAACTCTGTCCTCTCTGACATTTTAGTGAACTAACAGAAAACATACTTTGGGCTGCCAGTAGCAAAACACCAAAACACACTTAGTAAGTAAACACATTAACCTGTCTTTAGTGCATATAACTGATTCATTTTAAAGCTTTGAAGGGCTTTGATTTAACCTTTCATGGACAATTATCTGATGTTTGTCTTACAGAAAAAAAACAGTACCCCTAAAAAAGGCAACATTCAACTTTTATTGTCAAAACCTTGTTTCATTGCATAAAACTTAAAGCAAATTGTCAAATTACAACAATATCATGTATTTAAGAAAAAAAAAACAGTTAAAAAAATTCTCAAAACAGTTCCTAAGGTTTTAAAGTATATATTGCCAATCACATTAGTCTAAATCAGATACATAAGTGATTAAAAATAGATAAAATTGCACACTACATGTCAGAGCAATATACAACAGTAAATGCTTGTTAAATTAAAAACAGATCTTTTTCACTCCTGCAGGTTCCAGTTTTATGAATCCTATATACAAAGTGCTATTATCATCTTTTTTCTCCCATTACTGGATCTTTGGTCAAAGCAAAATTTTTGCTGACAGTAACATAGTTTTAATGCAATAAAGCCATATTAGATTTTGTGATTGGGGTCGATAAAATTCTGCATTCAATTACTTTTTTTGGTTAATAACTAATCTCTGAACCTATAATCAATAAATACACTTAAGAGTAATCACTGAAAAGCTCCCTTTATTAAATGATATTACTTTTTAGACAGTGTACATGTTTAGTATTTTATCAACACCCTGAAATAGTCCAATACAAGTTGCCACTCTACATTTTATCTTATTCAAATAATGGTGGTTTAATGCAGTGCAAGACCCTCTGCCCTTATCAACTGTCTTTAGTTAAGATGCCTCTAAATGGCTAATTTTATTCTAACCTGTTTTATTTATACGGTTCTCTTTACTTACAAGATGTAACTAACTTTTAAACAAGTATGGGAATATTAACGTTTCTTAACAACAGTACTTCTATTAAATAAAGCTCAGTTTAAAATTCTAATATCTAAAAATAAGGATTTCCTGACACTTCAGTGTTATGCTAACAAGCTAGCTCTTTGTTTTGTTAAAGGAATATCAACTGCATCTTTATTGTCAAATAATGATAAGTAAATTGGTCAAAAATAATATGTATAAGTCCGTGTGTAGTTTAGCTGCGTTGTTATGAGCTGCTTTAAACTTTTATTATTTCCTGGGACGATTTAATGCTAACGTTAGCTAACTTAATTAGCCACAGGACACTCCCTGTTCGAATGTCAAGAACATTCCTCTTTAAAACACAAAATAAAATAATCCTCACCGGCTGACGAGCAACATCCGAGGAAGCCATGTTTAAAGGACTTCAATACCCTAAAGAAATAAAAGAATATATTTATATAAAAACTGAAAGAAAGAAACTTTCAGCCCTCAGATTCTTTCCAGGACTGCCTATGCATCTACCGTCGACAACTAGACAGACGAGACCAATCCAAACAATTGGGGGGATTAAGGAATATTGTGCTTCTTCTAAAGTTGTCTTGAAAATGCGGTTGCCCTTTAATATTTCTAACCAGATGCCGTATGTTATTTAACATATATTAACATTACATGTACCGGAGTATAAGTCCCGAAAACGCGAAATCACTGTGTAGACTCAAACCTGCGCACACCTTTTTGTAAAGTGGTACAGACCGGTTAGTTTTCCCAGGCGCTCCCCATTCCTGTGACATGTTGCAGGTTCAATGAAAAAATTAAGGAGAGTAAGGAAAAGGATTAGGGCCACTAAAAAAACAAAACAAGTTATGTTATTTGTTTTTTTTATTTTATTTCAGTATGATATGAGAAAGTCATTCTTCCTTCTTACTTTATCTCAGTCTGCTTTTTTTCTTCTCAGTCTTCTTTTTTTCTTCTCATTCTTCTTTTTTTTTTCTCATTCTTCTTTTTTTTTTTTCTTAGAATTCTGACTTTTTTCTCTTATTAAAATGAAATATAATTTTAAAATCATTTTTTTGTTGTTGTTTTTTTCAGTGGCCCTAATCCTCTTCCTTAGGAGAGCAAGCTGCGTCCCTCTCCATTGCTGATATTCGATGTCTTATAAATATTAGTACTTCCTTCATAATAGTACATCGGCATTTTTGCAAGCTATGTACCAAGTATAATTTATCTAACTTATTTGCTTTATGATTTTTTTCTGTTTTCTTGTTGCTACTTTTCCATGTTGTTTTTTGCTTTAAATCATTTAACTTTGTTTTCAATAAAATAAAATTGTAATCATTTACTTTAATAAATCCATTCACTTGACACTTTGTTTAATGTCATGCCTTAAAAGAAATAACGAAGATGGTTTGATAGTATTAAATATTATTTTATATGATAAGATTATTAACATTCGTGTCTTTTATGTTTATATACTGTCAGTTTGTGTCTTAATTTTTGCAAATACTGCTAATAAAATGTATAGGCATAAAGTATAGAAGCGATTGATTGAAGGTGGTTAATTAATAAAAAAAAATAGATGCGTCTAGAGTTCGTTTCAGGGAAGCCGATAAAGCGTCTTCCCTCCTTTTCTTTTTCTTTTTTTTTTTTTTGTGTGCCTTTATTGAAAAAGAAAAATATGAAAATAAACTACTCGTTAACGAATGTCCGTTTTACGAAGGGGACCTAAACGCAACATATTCCTTGCATGCTCGAGCGCGCCCTCTATTGACCAAACCTTGATATACATATTTTAGCAAACGAAAGAAGGCAGGGGAAGGGATGCTGTCATCCGCTGATTCCATCGAGGAACCCAGTGAGAACATGTGTTTATTTGGGAAATCTGTAATGCCGCTTATCCATCCATAACTGCTGTCACCCGGAGGCGTTCATGAGGATGATGGCGTCCCAACGGTGCACGGAGAAAGCCGTGCACGAGTTCCTGTTGGAGAAAGGAGGGAGGGTCCGACAGATGGAGCTGATCGATCATTTCGCATCTCCTTGTAACGAGCAGCAGAAAGAAGGAGCGGGATGGGAGCTGCTGAGAGGAATTGTTGACAGCGTGGGGTTCGTAAAGGTGGAGGACGGGGAGAAATTTGTGTGTTTAAACGGAGACGGCAGCAGGGAGTCGGTGATGCGTCAGGACGCAAACGGCCACGTTAACGCAGAGTGCAACGGGAACATCCAAGCAGTGCAGGACAACAAGCAGGTGAATGGAAACCCTGATGATGACGGAGGACAAACAGGTGAGGGGGGATGCGACCATCCACATGATTTCAATGAGTTTATATTTTTCTGCTCTATTTGAGATCTATATATTTGGTGATTATTAACTGAACTTGGATCATTCACAATAAGTGGCCCAGAATAATGTACAACTTTTTGTGTTATATATTTATCCTAAAGTTTTAGTCTATAAAGCACGTTTTTAATTGCATGACAATTGACAATGCAGTATATGAAGAAAAGGGAAACCAAAAACTACATCACCGTGGGATACATTTCACTGAATGGATCATTAGAGAGTATAAAAAAGATTATTCCAAAAATTTATATTTCAAATGATTAAAAATAAAATGAATGGAAGTTGGACTACTTTTAATTGTGTTTTAAGTGTGCTCAAGCACCAGAAGGAAATGTTAAATAGAACAGGTAGGCAAAATTTCAATTTCAATTCAGTTTATTTATCGCGTCATTTCACAACACATATCATCTCAAGGCACTTTACGGTCCACCAGATCATACAGTCAAATTGATTCAAAGTTTTCTATCTAAGGAAAACCAGTTGATTGTATCGACTCATTGACTGGAATGCAATCCCTCACACTAAGCATACTTGTAGCGACAGTGGAGAGGAAAAACTCCCTTTTAACCGGAAGAAACCTCCAGCAGAACCAGGCTCAGTGTGAGCGGATGAAGAGAGCACATACAGCCAGTCACAGTCAGAGAAACAGGACTACACTGGAAAACAGGCCGATCTCTAACATCTATAAACAAGTGTGCAAAAAGGATTTGAAAATGCAAGTTGGAAAAAGGAATTGGATGAAAGGGTTTAAAATGTGTGATTATGAAATGTATTTCTAGTCATATTTATGAATTTAGGTTTATAAATCTCTATTTAAAGATATGGGTTAAAATAAATGTTTAAATTAATAATGGATTAATAATACCATTTACAATTCATCTTTGCTGATACAATTCTAAATTTGGAATTAGAAAATAATTTTCAAATTGGATTTCAAATGGCATGGTTTAAAATTTGAATTTAAAATTTATGATATTCTTTTTCAGTGACTCTTTAGGTCCTTTATGCTGGAGATGTTCTTTAGATAATAGAAGCAGCCATAAGTTGCTTCTATCACTTGAGAAAAGAAAGTAAGATATTACCTAATGAATAGAAATCAAATAAGATTAATTAATACAGTCAGTGAAAGGCAAAAGTATTATTTCTACCTTATGTTCCACATTTAATTCCACCAACCTGCATGTTTTTTTTATCATAATGTAGTGTGATATACTTACATAATGTATCACATAGATATGTAAAGGGGAAACAAAGCTTGGGCTAATAAATAATCTAAAAAACTTTATGGATGGATTCAGCCCTTTTTACTCCGCTGTCCTTAAATACATCCTAGTACAACTGAACGCCTTTTAAAGCTACAGAACTCATAGAGTCCAGCTGTGTGTAGCTTCATCTGAATATAAATACTGTTGGATTATTTAGGAGTAATCTTCAAAAATACATTATTAATCCCATTAAGTGTCGTTGAAATTTTTTTTTTTTTTATATAGTAATTATAGACAGTAATGGATGTGGGATCTTATTTTATTTTATTTGTGAATCATTTTTATTACATTTTTATTTTAACAAACAGAGAACAGAAAAAAAGACAACCCTCAATTCCACCCACCCACCACTTGCACCAGAGTATCATGAGAAATAAACATACTTCAGATGATATTCAAAAAGCAAGTAAAAAAAAGAAAAAAACAACAACATCTGAATAAAAAGAGGCCTTTCTTTATAATTATGGAGCAATGACATCAGAGTCCACTTTGTTGATAATTTAGAGAACTGGTTGTTGCACAGTATCACATTTCTGTATATTACCCTGTATGGAGTAATGAATTTGCTCCAGGCCATGGACGAAATTATGATTTCAGAAGTATTTTTAATATAAATAACTTCAATGTGTTTGACAGCCAATCACACAAGAAAAGCCAATCAGGAGCTTGTGGGCGGTCTTAACTCAGGGAAGCAGGCTTCAGCTTGGGCTGCGGTTTTCAGCTTGGTCCTAGTGCTCAACAAATATCTGTGTACTGTAGTGTAACCTTGTTTTTGGACAGTAAAATGTGCAGGGGGACAAAACACATATTTGAAAAAGTGCAGGGGACATGTCCCAAAAATTACGTCCATGCTCCAGGGTTAGATGTTAATTCAGATCATTAACCCAATGCTTGAATGAGGATGGAGATTTGTCCTTCCATTTCCTAAAGAATAAGTCTCCTGGCCAACATGGTAGCAAAAGCTAACATAATTTTACCAGCTGCATTCAAACCTAATCTAGGTGCCGTTAGTTGAAAAATTATTAAAATTGCTAATGCTCAATATGAGTTTTTAATACCTTGGAGAAGAACATGAAAACAGACTTCCAAAATTCAGCCAATTGTGGACAAAACATACGTGATAAAGTCCGGATGCTGTGATAACGAAGATGTAGAATCTTATTTAATTGTTTTGTTGTTGTAACATGTTCATTGGTTTAACAACAATGCTTGAAATGTGTGTTGGTTCTACAGGAGCCCGTCCAGACAATGACAAGCAGTCAAATGGTAACAACCAATCTGTGGCCCAGTCCCAGAGTAACGCTGATTCACGAACACCGACCACTGCTGGGGGAGGGGAGGTGAGGCTGAGGGATTGGAGGAGGAGAGAGTCGGCTCCGACTATCGGGATGCCGGACCTGGATCCGGCCCATCCTGGTGGCTCCCACAGCCATGCGGTGAGAGGAGCGCGCAGAGTGTCCAAAGGATCCCAGCGGGCCGCGCTGATCAGCTGCCTGTCTGAAGACAGCGCGCTGGAGGGGCTGGAGTCTGTGGGGGAAATACAAACACCGAAAGGAAGCCGCAGGAACTTCATAGAGCTGATGATGAGCAGTTCTCCTCAGGTGAGATCTTGTAACAGTCAGAGTTGTGTACTGTTTCTTTAAGACACTCTGGCATTGCTATGTGCCTCTGCTACTCTGTAGAGAGCGCGGGAAACGTGATGCAGAGAGATACATGTACTCAGACGTTTATTTCCTATTTTCCTATTTGCTTTGTAAGGTTGGTAAAGAGTGTGTTTATTAAACAACAGCACTGTGGAATTCCCAGTACCAGTGTGGTTGTGAGTTTTTGACCGTCCTCTCCTTACTTAAACGCAGCCCTAAACATTACAATCTCCACAAATAGCTCCATTAGTTATTGTCATGGAAGTATTTTTGATTTCAGATGAATATAAATAACTTCGGCATGTTTGACCGTCCAATCACAGACCCGATTCAGTGGCGCATCAGATTTTTGTAAAGTGAGTTTATCAGGAGTGACAGTGGTGACAGCCAGTCCCACAAGAAAAGACAGTGGACCAATCAGGAGCTTTTGGGCGGTCTAAACTCAGGGAAGCAGGCTTCCACTTTGAGCTGCAGTTTTCTGCTTGGTCCTAGTGCTCGACGATTGTCTGCGTACTGTAAAGTAACTGTTTTTGGACAGTCAAACGTGCAGGGGACCAAAACGCACATTTGAAAAAATGCGGAGGAACCCCCTCCCCCCTAAAAATGACCTCCATGGTTATTATCTAATGTATTAGATTGTGTAGAGAACAAAAACTCATCTAATTTATATTTCTTTATATGCAGGTTCGCAGGTCTCTAATCAACCGCGGGTCACGCAAACGAGACTCGGTGAGGAGCGACGGCGACTCCTCGTCCGTCCTCTCTTCTGCCACAGACGACGAAAGCTCCTCCGTAACTCTAGACCCTCTGGAGCACGAGTGGATGCTCTGCTCCTCAGAGGGGCTGTGGGAGAGCTTGCAGGCCCTGCTGGCTGTCGAACCGAGTCTGGTGGCCAAAAGAGACTTCGTGACCGGCTTCACCTGCCTCCACTGGGCCGCCAAGCAGGGCAAGCCTGAGCTGCTCGCCCAGCTGCTGGCCTTTGCCAGGGAGAACACGATCCCCGTCAATGTGAACGCCAGATCGAGCGCTGGGTACACGCCCCTACACCTGGCCGCCATGCATGGACACACTCAGGTGGGTAGCAGGCAGCGAAGTGTCATGAGCTGCACTTGAAGCTTTTGAGTAATGGATCGATAAAAAAAAGAGAAGCATAAAAAATACCTGATATGAATTTTAGGTTGTAAAGATTCATAAAAAAGAAGAACATTTGATTTCATTTTTATCATTTTGTTCAAAAATACCTCAGAGATTTTGAGATACCAGCTTAGTTTCCATCTTGTCTTCTCAAATATATTGTCTTTTTCCACCTTGTCACCTTTAAGTCTTGGTGATCTGGTGTGAAAAGCAAACACAAAGTTGTCGATAATCTATAAGGGCAAAGAAATGTGTATAAAGTTCATCGCTTATTTATTACCAGTCTTGAGCGACATGAGGAAGTGATTCAACACTTTGAGCTTCATGGTGGGATGATGTCAGGGTTTTTCACACACTGATGCGATGCATCCTTGGCAGGTGTTCCGTGCGCTGCTCTCAGACTGGGAAGCAGATCCAGAAGCGCGGGATTACAGCGGGAGGCGAGCCCTCCAGTACCTGTCGCCGCACCTGGCCACCGAGCTGGAAAGGCAGGGGGTGGTCTCCTCCCCCGGAGCCGAGTCGGACGTCGAAAACGGCAACGGCGGCAGCAGCAGGACGCGCGGCTGGAGGTTCCCCAAAGTCCTTCAGGGAAACCTGAAATCCCTGCGGCTGCTGACCTCACCAACAGAGTCGTCGGAGGAATCGCCCGAGAAAACCAAGGGGGGCCTGCAGAGGAAGTCGTCCCTCGGCCGGCTGAACGCTCGGCTGCATCGAGGGCGCCACCGAGCACAGATCATCCACAGCGCCTCGTTCAGGGACAGCGGGGAGGTGGGGAGAGACGAGGAGCTACCTAGGAGTCCTCTGAGAACCAGACCTCTGTCTAACCTGTTTGGATAAAGTCCTACCAGCAACACAAACAGAGTTGGACATATATTTATAATTTAGACGCATATTTCCCATCCGACAGATCAGATCGCAACATATTACGACTCCGAGCATTTTTGTATATAATGTAGAAGTGAAGAGAAATACCAGCATGGAGTTTGATCCTCATGCAGTGGTTTTTGTTAAGCACAGAGAACATTTACAATTTTTTTTGTTTCTGACTAAAACAGTTTCATGTTCCTTTGTTTTTAAGGACTTTTCAGAACCAAACCTTTTACAAACAGAACATTTTATACTGAAATGATTTTCCAATAATAGTTCCAAATTCTAATAAAAACCTCCGCCATAGTGTCCAAAAATCCACCTCTCTGGTTGGATAATATTTGTAGGCTGGAGTTTCTCCGTTTCACCGGATGGTGCTCATATTTCCTGTACGTCTCTGTAATGTTTTTAACGTAGCAAATTTTAAAAATTCAAACCAATCAGCCTTTTACAGTCACCTTTTTTGCACTCGTCACTTTGAAGTTTTTTTTAGGACAAGCTGAAATGACGTGATGTTTCTGGTTTCATGTTTTCGTTTAAACGATACCTTCGTTCCACCGACAGACTAAAAACTGCACAACTGATTATGTAGCTTTTCCACGTTTTTTTCCATCACTTTAAGTTTACCAGAGTAATAATAGTTTACACCAAATAAAATGGCAAGCAGAGATTAACCTTTTCTTTTTATTTTTCCTGTTGGCACACAGAGCTGCTGTAACCTTGTCTCCTGATGATGATGATGCAACACATTCACTGATTTTTATTGTTTCACTTTTGTGTGCTAATGGTTATTTTAAGTTTCTTCTTAGGTGCTATAAATGGTCACTCTCCACACACTTTTGGGGACCTTAAGTTCTTTACATGTCAGCACTTTTCTTCCAGAAATGTATTATTCTCCTATTATGGAACCTGCTGGTAGTTTAATGCTGGACGTTTTCTGAGGTTCAGATGATTCCAACTATCCAGCTGATCATAGATCAATAACAGGCAGAACGAACCAGAGACTTCATGCTCTCCTCAGATTTATACAATCGTTTGTATATTGTATCTTGTGTATTTATTTGCTGTATATTGATGTAAGTAGAACTCAGAAGACCTCCTGATTGGTTTCCCATATATGTGAACCTGAATGGCTCAGTGATGCAACCCAGATTTCTTAAATGTTATTCCTGTGTTTTGTAGCATTTGAACTTAAATCATAGGAAAATGCATTCTTGTTTTTTTTTTTTTTTTTTTTTTTTTTTTTCCAGCTGTGAAATAGTAGTTTTTCCTTTTTTTTTTTTTTTTTTTTTTTTTTTTTCCAGCTGTGAA